TATTCACTTAAAAAATATGCATAAAAGAGACTATAAAAAATGACCTGGAAAATCAGAAATAAAGCCTATATTCTGACTTGAAATGAAATGAAAACTTATATTTAGATATCAATAACACAATGGATGGATTAAACAATAAGTTAGAAACAGTTGAAAAGAGAGTTAGTGAACTATGGAAAAGAGCTGGAGAAATTATTCATAGTATTGAATGGAGACATGGAAAATAGAAAGTATGACAGAGAAGTTGAGCAATATGGAAGGCAGAACGAACACATGGAGGAAAGACAATATTTGAAGTGATTGTGGATTATAATTTTCCAAACATGATGAAAGCCATGAATTCACAGCTATAGGGAGACCCACATATACTAAGCAGACCAAAAAATTCCACATCTAGACATGTCTTTACGTGACACTACAAAATACCAAAGACCGAGAGAAGTAGTAAGAATAGTCAGAGAGAAAGTATCACCTACAAAAAGACATGTTGGCTGACAACAGACTTTGCAACAACAAGGGAAACCCGGACAATAGAATAATATATTCAGACTGATTAACATATTGTCAAAATAGAATTTTGTCCCTGGAAAGGTATTTTTTCCAAGAACAAGGGCTAAAGAAAGACATCTTCAGAGAAGCAAACAATGAGAGAATTTACAACCAATGGTATTTAACTAAATGAACTTCTAAAAGATATAATTCAAGAAGAAGAAAAATTATCCCAGTAGAAAGGTCAGAAATATAAGCAGGAATGATAAATAGAAATACCTGACAAACACGAAGGTTAAACTGAGGTAAATGGAAGCAATATGATTTATAACAAGAATAATAATAAAGTACAAGTACAAATTGAAACCAAATCAGGTACCAAGGGAACCCTCAACTTTAGAAGTGACTGTAAACGCACAAATCCGGTGTGCTTGAATTCTTCCATTCAGGGAGACTTCAATATTTGCTAAGGCAGCTCTTTCTATCAACTTAAAATGTTCTTGCATATGGTGGTTTCCACCCACTGGTCCTGCTTTCGTCCTTATGGGCATGTCGAACAGATTAAATCCAATCTCTCTTCTACAGGATTAAGCCCTTCGAATATTTGATAGTACCTATCATATATGAGGATACTTCCAAAAGTTTGTGGAAAAATAGAATTAAAAGATAATCCAAATCTTTCCATGAACTTTTTGAAGTACCCTCGTATACTGGCCAAGTTTAACATCTCCAGTTTCTTCAACCATTCCTCCTATGACACACATTCACATTCTCTCACTATCCCGGTCATTCTTGTCTGAAATTCTTCTGCCTACAAGTCATTCATAAGTGAACATAATTACTTCCAAAAAGTCTAATTACAACATTATCACCAATTTTTACCTAGATTCTACTCCTATTAATGTAATCTCAAATTGCAGTTTTCTGGTTTTTACTTGATAGCTTTATATAAACTAGCCCTACGTATACATTTTTGCTGTTAATAGGTAAATCTCTCCCAAATTATATTGAGGCAGTAAACTTACTCCAATCCCCATACCAGCCAGCCAACAACAACAAAAAATCTCTTTCAACTGGGCCCATTGTGCCAATCCACTCAGATCATTTAGGATCTTGATTATATTTCTAGCTGATTGACTAACCCCTCAAATTTTAAATTTGTATATTACATAACAAACATACCTTCCAGATATTCATAGAAGTTTTTGTTAAAGTATTGACCAGGACAAGGTTAAGATCACAGCCCTTATCATATCCCTTTAGAGAGGATCATTTAAACAATTACTTTTACCATATTTCTCCTTCTTCAAGATATTATGAAAGACTCTCAAATATCTTGAGGCCCAGATATACTATGTTTATCACATTTTCATGACCTAAGAGTTCCATAATCCTATCAAAAACTGAGATTTAATTTGAAAACTATTAGAACACTATGTAAGGAATTCAAGAGGTCATTTCTAATCCTCACATTTGTTTAACTGGTGACCTGCAAGTCAGCAACTTCTCTGAGCATCAGCTACTTCACTTGACAAAGACTAACTGTCTACCCACTACCCATCTTTCCTTTCATAATAAAACAATCCCTTTACTTGAGGTGGCAAAGTACCCACTAAAAAAAAAAATGCTTTGGGCCGGCCCCGTGGCGCACTGGAGAGTACGCCGCTTGGGAGTGCGAACAATCCCTTTACTTGAGGTGGCAAAGTACCCACTAAAAAAAAAAATGCTTTGGGCCGGCCCAGTGGCGCACTGGAGAGTACGCCGCTTGGGAGTGCGACGGCACTCCCACCGAGGGTTCGGATCCCATGTGGAGACCAGTTCCCGCTCACTGGCTGAGCGCAACACCGAGGGTTGCGATCCCGTCGCCGGTCAGTAAAAAAGACAAAAAAAGAAAAAAAAAAAAAAATGCTTTCTAGCCTCCCCTCCAACTAGGATATAAACAAGTTGTTGGGTCTCAGCAAGGTTTACTTTGTGTCAGGTACCCTGTTTGTCCTTCCCATCTTTACTTCCTGCCTGGAACTTGAATATTATGTTTAGAGCTCCAGTAGCCATCTTAGACCATAAGGTGACTTTTAGGATAGAAACCAGGCACTAAGGATGACATAGAAGAAAAATGGAAGGAGCCTAGATTATTAACAATTTCATCAAGCACCATACAGCCTTAGACAGCTTACCTCCACACATCTTGCAAGGGCGTGTGGGGGGATGGAACAATAAACCTCCGTGTTGTTTAGTCCACTATTATTTAGGCTTTCTGCTATATACAACTGAACCTAATCCTAGAACATCTTGAGACCTTTGCCAATACCATGACAAATACAAGGGGTCAGCAAACTTCTTCTGTAAAGGGCCAAATAGTAAACATTTAAGGCTTTGCAGGCCCTATGGTCTTTGCCACAACTACTCAGCTTTGCTGTTGTAGCCCAAAAGTAGCCATAGACAATACATAAATGAATGAAGTGAGCTATGTTCGAATAAAACCTTATTTATAAAAACAAGCAGCAGGTCAGATTTCAACTACAAGCTATAGTTTGCTGACCCCTGATCTACAGAAACAAATAAAAATAAGACCTTTTCAATTGCTTGAGAACTTAATTTCCTTGTCAATGATTAAGATTAGTTAACTCAGAAGAAACAGAAGTAGCAGGCATGAATAATAAACAAATCTGGTTTCTTAATCAATCAAAAGATAGTCCTATTACTTTTATACACTACTTATAGGAAGGAATATAAAATGTAACATTTCTGAGAGAAACTTGGCATGATGTATCACAATATGTAATATGTTACATATTTTTTTTACTGAAATTCTACTTCTAGAAATTTAATCCTAGTGAAAACCATAGAATTGCACAGCTATATCTACAAAAATGTAGAATTTGTAATGACATGAGTAATTATCTATAATATTGATTAGTAAAAATGCCGTAATGTAAAAGTATGAGCAGTATGATCCCAATTTTAAGACTACATAGATACAGACAACCAAACAGATGTATACCAAAATGTTAAACTCTGGTTTTCAACTATCTTTGCACTTTTATGTATTTCCTAAATTTCTTAAAATAAACATGATTTTACACACAGACACATTTCCTATATATCATAAATAAAAAATTTTTTAAGTTGGCCATCTCTAATTATTATAATTTGGTCAAACAAGATATAATATAGGTTATAAATCACAAGCTTAGGAATTTTTTAAATAGTATGAAAATACCACAACAAATCCCAAATGAAGAAAATTCAGACTAATTTCTCCTTGGAAGCAAATATTGCTTACATACTATACCTGGACAAGAAATGCTTCAGGGTCCCTTTGTGTTCCTTTTATTCCTAGGAGGGTAGAGAAAATCACTTTGATGTTGAAGTCTTCTCCCACTTCCACAGCAAGTCCTTTTTGCTTTTCAGCAGCAATAAATGCACTCAGAAGTCTAGAATACTCTTTGAGATTAGTGTAGGAGAATTTATGTAGGGGAGTTAAACTATATAAAGTCCATTGTTTATGCAGAAGAAATGCAACCTTTTGAGGATCAACATCTTCCTGAAAAAAAATCAAGACAAAAGAAGTTTAAGAATTAGGAAACATGGGCCGGCCCGGTGGCGCAATGGGTAGTGCGCCGCTTGGGAAGCGCGGTGGCGCTCCCGCCCGAGGGTTCGGATCCCACATACGGACCGGCTCCCGCTCACTGGCTGAGCGAGGCACGGGAGCAACGCCGAGGTTTGCAATCCCGTTGCCGGTCCCTGGTCCGGTACGGGGGCAACACTGAGGGTTGCGATCCGTTGCCGGACACGGAAAAAGACAAAAGACAAAAAAATAAAAAATAAAAAATAAAGAAATTAAACAAATTCTAAGTATAAAAATTTTTAAACCCACAATCAAAAGCTTAACATTAAAAAATCTCTAAATTCGGGCCGGCCCGGTGGCGCACTGGGTAGTGCGCCGCTTGGGAAGCGCGGTGGCGCTCCCGCCCGAGGGTTCGGATCCCACATACGGACCGGCTCCCGCTCACTGGCTTGGTCAGGTACGGGGGCAACACTGAGGGTTGCGATCCGTTGCCGGACACAGAAAAAGACAAAAGACAAAAAAAAAAAAAGAATTAGGAAACATTATTAAATACGAATTTAATCATAGTATTTTAGAGATTTAATATAAATCTATTACTAGGTACCTGATCTTTGCACTCCAGCCAAACTGGAGTTTGCAGGACTTTTTGCAGCTCCTTGAACTGACCTTTGCATTGCTGTACCTTCCCTTTAGAATGCTCTTCTCCTGGGGGTTCACATGGCATGTTCCTTCACTTCATTCAGGTCTCTGCCCCAATGTCAGCTAAGAGGCCACCCTATATAAAGCAGCACTTGCACCCACTCCAACTTTGTCACTCTAAATCTCCTTACCCTGTTTCATTTTTCTTCACAGCATTTATTACTACCTGACATTATATATTGGTCTAAATTTCTATCTTGTCTTCTCTACTAGGGTATAAGTTTGATGAGAGCAGGGATTTTGCCTGTTATGTTCACTTTAGAATCTAGAACAATGCCATTTAGAACAAATATTCAATAAATATTTAATAGATGAACATTTAGGTTTCACTTTTAGAAACTTCAAATTATAGATCTTGAAAATAGTAACTATTCCTGAAGTATCTAGTTTGATTACCTTTAATTAAGTAATTTTAAAAATTGCGTGGCAAGGGCCGGCCCATGGCTCACTTGGGAGAGTGTGATGCTGACAACACCAAGTCAAGGGTTAAGATCCCCTTACCGGTCATCTTTTAAAAAAAAGAAAAAAAAAGTTGTTTGGCAGTAAATTCACTCTATGACACAATGCCTAATTCAATCAATTAGATAAAAAGATACTTGGGAGTATTTTTTGCCATGCTCTACTGGAACTTCACGTACCATCAAAACAAAAACATTTGTATTGGGGCTGGCCTGTTAGCTCAGTTGGTTAAAGCATGGTGCTGACAACTCCAAGGTTCAGCGATCTATCACTGTGCCTGCTAGCTACCACCATTACCAACAAAAACACTTCATCTGTATTGGCCCCATGGTATTGATCAGGGTCTTCAGATATATCCCAACACAGGCTCCTAGCTTCCTCCTGAACTGAATTCTTCTAAAGAGTCCATACTTCCTGACATAGTCTCACACTCCAACTATCTTTTGGAACTTTCACTACAGTTGTCTACTTGACAAAAGTGTTTGTTCTGGCTAGAGCATTCATTGAAACAGCAATAAACTTCTTATTATTACTATCAAAATATATGGGGGGAAAAAGGGGTAACCAGTTAGCTCATTTGGTTAGAGTGTGGAGTTATAACACCAAGGTCAAGGGTTCGGATCCCTGTACAGTCCAGCCACCGAAAATATATATATATACACACATACACATACACATACACACACACACACACACACACAAACACCAAAATAATGTAGCAATATATTATAAACCTATAAAGCCTTGAAAAACAGGAATTCATAAGACAATAAATAATAAATAGATAAATTAATAGAGAAGAAAGGAGATATGGTTTACAAAAGAATGTCAAAGGCTGGCAGGTAAACATGGACGGAGTGCTGGAGGTAGAAAATCCTTATTTTGCAACCACCATGATAAATATGGGATCAGGCAAAAATTATCAATGGGTACTAAGTCTAAAGGGAAATTTTGACAATGAACAGGATATATGCCTTATCTTAAAGTTGTCTCCCCACAGACTGCTTATTAATTGCAGTGAGGGGAAAAACACTACTTATACAAAGTGAAGAAATTAGGCAATGCCTTGACATGATGTTCAAAATTAGCATTACCTATGTGCTACCAAATGTGATTCCCCAAGAAGGATACAACAACACATATGCAATATTCCAGCCAAGAATATGTAACCTCAATCTAATCATGAGGAAATATCAAATACAAAAGGAGGAATATTCTATTTAAAAAGGGGACAGAGGCTGGCCATTTAGCTCAGTTGGTTAGAGCACGGTATTATAACACCATGGTCAAGTATTGAGACTCCTGCACCTGCCAGCCGCAAAAAAAAAAAAAAAAAAAGGAAAGAAGGAGATTTCAAAAGTGTCAATGTTGGCGCCACGCTCCAACCACCTCCTCCTCAGTAACCCCAAATCCATTTTATTATAAAACTTTTTCATTAAGGAATAAGAAACTCTCTGCTCTCTCTGCTTCCACTATCTTGCAATGTGAGACCCCTGGGTCACTGTCACCACCACCAGATGGACTTTGGACTTCCCAGCCTCAGAAACTGAATCACCTGGCCTTATTGGTTGCTGCCGAATACTTGAGTGTAAATGCTTCCGGACAAGATGGCGGAATAGACGATCCCTAGCGTCACTCTCTCCCACAAATCAACCGATTTAAACTGTAAAAATATAACATCAAGTGCATATGGAACGGGGAGACGTCCTGCAGGGGAGGCAGAAGCTCCGCGGAGACCACATGCCCTGCGGGGCCACTGTCGCACGATCTGGCAGATAGGCTTCACCGCTGCCACCCGGCTCCATTCCCAGCCCAGCCCAGTGCGAACAGAGTGGGGAGACGGAGGGAGGCGGAGGCTCTGCAGAAACCACACACCCTGTGGGGCCACCACTGTGTGATCCAGCAGGTAGGCTTCACCGCAGGCACTTAACTCCATTCCCAGCCCAGCCTAGTGCGCTCACAGAAGGGAGACTTCCGGCAGGGGAGTGGGAACTCCACAGGGACCACACTGCTGCCGCGCGATCCAGCAGCCCCACCCTATGCATATGGAGCACAGAGACATCCAGCAAGGGAGTTAGAAGCTCCGTAGAGTCCATACACCCTGGGGGGGGGGCCACCGCCGCGCGATCCAGCAGCCCCGCCCTAT